CCACCCCGCCTGTCTGTGCTCTGCACCTTCCTCCGGCGAGCGGCACCGGCTCCAGCGCCCCCCCCACCTCCCCCCCATCCTCCCGGCACCTCCTCCTCCTCCTCCTCTTCCTCCTCCTCCCCTCCCCTGCAGAGCATGCACAGCCCGGGACTCGCATCGCCGGCTCCGCGGCGGGCGGGCGAGACCTTCCTCCCCTCCTAACCCGGCTCCCGCTGCCCCCGGAGGGCGCCCACCGCCTTCCCCTACCCCCTTTTCCCCGGTTCTTCATCCCTTACCCCCCCCCACCACCCCCCCTCGGGACTTTTCTTCATCCCTCCCGAGGATGAGGCGGCCGACGCGGCGGCTGGCGCTGTCTGTGCTGGGGGTGCTCTGGCTCGCCGCCCTCCTCCTCTTCTTCTTCGGGGCCAGGAGGAAGTTGGAGGCGGCGGGAACCGAGGGACGCCCGTCGGAGGTAAGGAAGGGGCGGCGGGGCCGGGGGGGAGAAGTTCCCGGTGGTTTTCGGGACCACCCCCCCCACTCCACCCCATCCCATCGCGCTCCCCTTAAAGTTTTGCCCCGTCCGTGTGCCCTTTCCTTACCCCTTCTCCCCCCCCTCTCCGTCGGTGAATTAACCCCCACCCGGTCGCGGTGTCCCCCCTTAACGCTCCCCCCCGCCCCGGTTCACCAGAGGGTGCAGCCGTCGGGGGTCCCCGAGGGGGGGGGTGGCTGGGGGACCAGCCCTCTGTCCCGCCGCCAACTTGGAGGAGCATCCCTCACTTCAAGGCTTGGGGTCCCCCGGGGAACGGGGTGCACCCCAGGACAAAAAAGCGCGTGTTTTGTGGTGTCACGAGTGGGGTGGGGGGGGACTCCTTGCCCCCGCCCCCCTCCCTGGGTCACGCAGCGTTTCGGAGCCCTTTTCTGAGCAAGAAGAGCTCGATCTTGACCCAAAAGAGAGGCAGAGAGCGTTCAGGTGGTCCCCCGGTTGGGGCACGTCAGTTGGCGGGTACATCAGGCTCATTAAATCACTGGGGTTTTTAATTACAGGTTTTGTTTGAAGGCAATGGGGAGGGGATGAAGTGTTGCCCTGGGTGGAAGAGGGGGATCATGGCTTTCTGCGTCGTGTTTGAGACCCCTGAGTGACAGTGTGGGAGAGATGGGAAGAGCATCCCGCTGAGTGAAACGGCGGAGTTTCACTGCCCAAAGGCTGCGAAAAAGCAGGGAGCTGCAGACAGCTGGGTTTGAACAAGGTCCTGTGTCTTCTCCTCTCTAAGGGATGAGAGGAGCCCGAGCTCAGCCGGGCGAAGTGTTGCCCTGGGTGGAAGAGGGGGATCATGGCTTTCTGCGTCGTGTTTGAGACCCCTGAGTGACAGTGTGGGAGAGATGGGAAGAGCATCCCGCTGAGTGAAACGGCGGAGTTTCACTGCCCAAAGGCTGTGAAAAAGCAGGGAGCTGCAGGCAGCTGGGTTTGAACAAGGTCCTGTGTCTTCTCCTCTCTAAGGGCTGAGAGGAGCCTGAGCTCAGAGCCGGGTGTTAACTTCCCAAAGGACACGGGTTGGATGCTGATCTTACTGATACGGCTGTAAATCTTCAATAAATTAAAGCCCAGGTCCTGAAAATCAGCTGAGATTAAGGGCTGTTGCAGCAGAGGGAAGGGTACAAGCCCCCAGCCCCAATTTTTCACCAGTGACACCCAACCCAGTGTGTGGCCTGTGACTTAGAGTGACTATATGTGTTGGCCAGGTCTTTGGAGAGTCTCGTGTGTGCGTCACCTCTACAACTGAATTAACGACCTGATTGGGAGGAAAAAGCAAAGAAAAAAAAAAAAGTCAGAACTCATAAAGCTTACTTTGATTTTCTTTTTTTTCATCCCGAGCAGGGGAATTATTGGTTTTCCATGTTTTTTAAATAAAAATGATTGAGGAGGGTTTTTTTTTTTTTTCAGGCTTTCAGAAATCTTTCATTCCTAGCAGAGGGGAATGAATCCGTGCAATTTCAGGCCTCCAAATAAATAATTTTATATACATTTATTTGTTTATTTAAGCGGGGAAAGGTAATAAGTCACTGAAAACGGAGTTAGAAGACGGACGCTTTCTTAACCATAACTATGCTTTGGTGTCAGTAGGTTTCTATCTGAAGGGGCTTCTTAAAAATTGCAAAATGAGACCTGCCCTGTTTGGTGTGAGCTCTTGTAATTCTCTCCTTGAAATGAACCTCGCCTCTCGCTTAGCGCCGGCTGCGGCCGAGATGCTGTTTCATTTTGTGGCCTGTTTTGACCCTCCGTTCCCGTTCCAGGCTCCCCCCACCCCGAGGAGGGGGTTGCTGATGCTCTCAGGGGCCAGGCTGGGCTCCTGCTGCTGTCGGAGCAAAGTTCTCCCATCCCGCAGGATCGGGCCCCGAGCTCCGAAGCTGCGACCGCCGAGTTGCCATCACTCCAGCAATTTGACTGCTCAAATCTTTTTTTTCATCCCGAGCAGGGGAATTATTGGTTTTCCATGTTTTTTAAATAAAAATGATTGAGGAGGGTTTTTTTTTTTTTTCAGGCTTTCAGAAATCTTTCATTCCTAGCAGAGGGGAATGAATCCGTGCAATTTCAGGCCTCCAAATAAATAATTTTATATACATTTATTTGTTTATTTAAGCGGGGAAAGGTAATAAGTCACTGAAAACGGAGTTGGAAGACGGACGCTTTCTTAACCATAACTATGCTTTGGTGTCAGTAGGTTTCTATCTGAAGGGGCTTCTTAAAAATTGCAAAATGAGACCTGCCCTGTTTGGTGTGAGCTCTTGTAATTCTCTCCTTGAAATGAACCTCGCCTCTCGCTTAGCGCCGGCTGCGGCCGAGATGCTGTTTCATTTTGTGGCCTGTTTTGACCCTCCGTTCCCGTTCCAGGCTCCCCCCACCCCGAGGAGGGGGTTGCTGATGCTCTCAGGGGCCAGGCTGGGCTCCTGCTGCTGTCGGAGCAAAGTTCTCCCATCCCGCAGGATCGGGCCCCGAGCTCCGAAGCTGCGACCGCCGAGTTGCCATCACTCCAGCAATTTGACTGCTCAAATTGCCTCTCCTTCATTTCCTCTGAATTTTTCGTCAAAACAGTTGCATCCCCTTGACGTCCATAGAGTGCAGATTCTTGATGGTTTTTTTTTTTATTGTTATTATTTTTAATACATCCTATTTTTTAGCTTTGGAAGGCGCTTTTGAGTAGTATGAATTAATAAGCTGGCTGTGAGGTGGGGGGGGGACATGGTGTTCCTTTGTCACTTCAGTTAACCCCTCTGAGCTGACGTGGGTACCAGAGGGAGGGGATGCCAGCCTCCAAAGAGGAGGGGGGGGTTCTGTTTCCCCTGGCCCACAGGACCAGGCAGTTAAGAGTTGTCTTCCCAAATTGCTCCAGAACCTGGAGGTGGTAGGTTGCTCCAAGCACTGCAAACTTTGTGTCACAGCTACGGAAAACGGAGCAAATCCACATCAAGTTTCCTGGCAGCGTTTCTTGACCTGTGTGGGGTGTTTTTTTTTTTTTATCCTCCCCCCCAAACGCCACCTTCTCTCTCAGTTGAGCTTTATTTCTGCAGCCATATGCACACCATATATCATGCCTCGTGTGGATTTAACCTTTAGACCTTTCTAGTTAGGCTCCAGCTGGTAATGCCTCCTCCTGCCCGCGCCTGTCTCCCGGCAGAGCTCTCGGCACGTGTCCCATGCTGGAAGGGAAGGCCGTGGTGGCCTTCCTTGGTGACTTGCCAAGGGCCAGCAGCAGACCTGCTGCTCCCATCCGTGTGGAGGGTTCTCCTCGTTCATTGCTTTTATTTTTGGTCTGCGTTCCCCCCCCTCTCATCCCCCTTTTCCCCAAATCCTGTGCCAGATTCAGCCCTCAGCTTCCCAGAGGAAGGCTTGTGATGTTTGGTTTTTTTTTCCTATAGGCAGAGATCCCTGTGTTGGGGTTGGCAAGGTCTGCAAGGAGCAGGTCCTTGGTGTGAGGGGTCTGCTGTGGTCTTCCAGTCCTGCCTGCCCCCAAAATATGCTGCTGGCTTGGCCTCTCTTGGCCACGGTGGAGGTGGGTGTTGGGGCAGGTCTGACAGTGGTAGCTGGGCTTTGCTGAGCTGCTTGTGCCCAAAAAGGTAGACACAACCACATGTTGTAATTCACTTGGCTTCACCTCCTCTTTTTATTCTTTTTCCTTGTTTCTTTTTTTTTTGAGTTTTTTTTTTTTGGTGTGGTTTTTTTTTTGTGTGTGTGTGTCTGTTTTCTCCTCTAATCCCATCTCCGTGGTGCTCTCTCTCACCCCTGCCCGGTACCAGCCGGGCTAGGAGGGCTCCCCTTCTCGCCAGCCCTTGCTCCCCTCAATCTTCATCACCTCCTTTCTCTCCTCCTCCTCCTCCCTGCCGCTTGCAGCCGGGGGCGGTACGTGCCAGGGCTGCCCGAGCAGGCTGAGGCTGGATTTTAGGGTGTGAGACTCCCTCCGGGCTGTGGGGTGTAGTAACCTTGTAGGGCTGGTAGCCTCTAGAAGAACGTAATTCGCTCCTTTTAGGACCTTAAAGCTGTTCCTGGGACAACTTCCTCACTCCCTCCGGTGCTGTTATTGCTGCTGTCGTTTGGGATTTGTGGTTTTTTTTTAGTCCTCCAAAGGGCAGATCAAACCCTGTTAGCGCAGCGAGCGAAACTTGCCCTCACCCTGCCCTTTATAAAAGTCCTTTATAAATTTATAATTTATAAATTGGCTGAGAAGAGGAGCTGGAGTGACGTTCTTGTCTCTCCTGGGGTTCCTTGCCCCTGGGGCCCGGCCGGCTGCCTGGTTAGTAGCCACGGGCTCAGCCGGCAGGAAAGCCAAGCCTGATGGATGAGGGTGTTAAGGACACGGGGTTAGGGATCGGCTGGGACTCCTTGGGACATCCTGCCCTCTCCTTGCCTTTTGGTGGAGGATTTCGAAATCCTTTGCAAGCATTAATTAGTTCCAGCCTGTCTCCCTGCCCCGGCAGTTTTCCAGCTGGATAAACTGGGACCCGGAGAGGTTAATTGAACTTTGTATCCTTATGGTTCTTGATGATTCCAGAGGAACTGGGAGTCGCTCAACCCTCTTGGAAGATCAGGCTGCCCGGTGACCCACCTGAAGTCATGCAGGGAGGTGGCATCAGGGCTTGGCATGTGCTCCAGTAATTTGGGCTCAGTGGCCCCGGACTACAGCCCAGCATCTCCCCTGCCTCCCCTTTGCTTTGCTTTGGGAAGGGGGAGGCACACATGCACGTATAAATTAATAACTTAATTACATTAAGAAATAATGAGAGGAACTGATACGCGGGATTAATTACAAGCAAATTCCCAAATTGATTTGTGAGGAGGACGTGTGGCTGGCTCTGCAGGGATGCTCCGTCAGCCTGCCGGCTCCTGCCGGTGCCCCGTGCCAGGCTGGGAGGATGCTAAAGATGGAGCAAGAGAAGGGTAGGGGACAACCCCACCATCATCTCGTCTTCTCCACCTGG